TTAATGAGATTACTTTACTACTAATATTCATCTCTTCACAAATATTATCAAGCTTTTCTTTTATATATATTGCAGTATAATGATATTCAAAGGGAATAAGATCAAGTAAAAAACGACGCATCTTTCATTTGTTATCAATATAATGTATAGTAATACCTAAATAAGCTTGATTTGATATTGATATCCAAATATCAGTAGTTAGTGCAACTTTAACAGTAAGAGCTTTAAGTTCTTCTGCAACAAGTGTACGACATAATTCAAATTGAGATAATGTCATTTTTTTTATATATTTACTTGAAGGCAACTGATATCTTGAATCATATATATTTACTGCATTGCGAAACCAAGGATTTTCAACAAATGAAAATGGAAGTTGAGCACTAATTATAAGATCAAATGTAGCCTTTAAACACTGTTCCTTTCTTTGGCTATCATTTTTGCTATAAGGTCTTTGAAGTAAAGATAATCAATTATTTTTTAAAATAAGTATAATATTATGCTTATTTTTAGATGAGTATTAAGAACACTAGTAGCTATATTTGGACTATATTTTTGTTTGCATTTTTTATATATTCTTGCAATAATTTTACCTCCGACATTTTCTTCATCGAAATAATCCCATACAGGTGATCTTCTAATAAGTCTATTATTATTTGTAGCAATATTAGTAGCTTCAATTTCTACACCTTCCATAGTTTCTATATTATTTGTATCATCTGCATCTTCATTATCTAAATTAATTGTCTCATTTATATTTTCTATTTCTATGTCAATATTATTTGTATTTTTTAGATTATTTATATCTTCTATATCAATGGGTTCATTTTCTCCATAAGTACTATAATCAAATTCATCAGCATTAAACATTTTTAGTTTAATATATTTGATTTTTAAAATTATTTTATATTTATTATTATATAGTATAAGGTTTTGTATTTAGTAAAAGGTATAATAGTTAATAGTAAATCTTGTAAAAAAGTAAAAAATAATAACTAAGTTAGTAAAATGAAAAGTAAAATAACTACTTCAGGATTATCAATAAATTTTTTGATTTACAAAAAATTAGCTAATAAAAATTTTGATTAGAAAGATATGGGGTCTTTGCTTCTAATCAGATTAATTCTGACAAAAATAAACCTGAGTACCAATTTATATTCATATATTAATTATCTTTTGCTTATATTAATTTAATAATTATTTGATAACCTATTAAATCAATTAAGTTAAAAGATTATTAATATATAAATATGAACTAGTACTCATATTTATTTTTGTCTGAATTAACCCGATCAGAAATGTCAAAGAAAAATTTTTAAAGCAAAAACCTTATATGGGTGAAGTCAATAGAAATAGAACAAATCTATTAAATACATTTATCTTATTTTTATTGACTCTTCCTATATACTGACACAGTACACACATAACTAATTTTGTATACTTTAATTGTTTGAAACGTAGCAAGGATTCTTTCTTTTTGATCACATTTGAATGCATATCTATGCAATGTCTAATAGCTACAACCAATAATATTCAAGATATGAAGATCTGCAGTTAGTATAATAATTAAACCTAG